TACAGAGCAACTCGCAGTATACAAGGTAACTAAAAAATACGAGCAGTACTATAAAGTATGGGAAGACGATGCATACACCGAATAACCATAATAAAACAGCCGAAGTACTGCATGCAACAAAAAAACAGAAGAATGCTTACATTCACCAACAGTTTTTATTGTAACCTGCGAAGAGATCTACTTGAGGCAACCAGAGTCGATCTGTCAGCAGATGAAAAACTGTCGGGTGGATCATCCACTCCGTGGGAGACGGCCTCGATGGTCTCGACAGGGCTTCGACTTTCACATTCTTGGCCCCCGGGATGATACGGGCGCGTACGCACATGTCTAAGGATCCTCACTTCTGCCCCCACTGGCTCTGTCCCCCCCTCTGATACTTGGAAAAGGAGACCTGGCGACCTTTTCTGTCTGCATCTCTCTCGTGGGACGGCTGTCGAGGCGTGTCACTACGAAAGGCCTGTTGCACATTCTCGTTTCTTTAACAGCGTCGTGGGACGTTCGAAACCGGTGGCCGCCTGGACATGTTGTGTGAAGCCGAAATGATGATGTCACGCTCGGCTTCCTTGGAGTACTTGTCCAGAACGTTGTTGGTACGACCGTCAAACAACTGTTGCGATGACCACGGGGCCCGTAAGAGTGACCTGCCATGACGATCAGGTAGGTCAGTGCAGGCGATGTAACCATGACGACGTGCCGTAGTAATCTGGCCCGATACATATCGGGACTGGGCGAGGACGTCCGAGATCCACCGTTGCATACAGGTGAGGATTGATGGCACCGTCTTTTCGTGCTCGTCGAGGGGGTCTTTCTCCTCAAAGTACACTGAGAGGGCCTCGATCGCTGTCGACAGCATAACAAGCGGTTGTAGCTGGTGACGAACAGCAGTGTCCATGGATTCCAAATGCCTGTCTTCTACTAGAATCTTGGAGGGCGCTGGTGTCTTAAAGAGTAGCCCCCAATCCAAGTCCCTACTCATGGGTGACGAAAACGGCATGCCATAGATCGGGTAACTAGATCGACCAGGCGGCTTGTTGAAACTCTGTCCCGGTAGAGCAGAGGCAAAGTTCTGGTCCATATCGTGAGCCATGGCTCTGAAGACATCGGGAGGTGAAAACTGAAGAGACTGTGGCGTATCACCGACCTTAAAGCCAGGACGCGTCGGTTTGTCGGCATCATTTGATAACTCAGGCAGAAAGTTAGATAGCCAAGCAAACAACTCAATGTCTTTGGGAGGCCTAGGAGGGCTGTCGTCACAATCCATCGTCGACGTCGATTGTGTAGGCGTAGATGAAGGAACTGGTGTACTGGTCGATGGTCCATGGACCTCCGACGTAGTCGAATCCTTCTTGGTCGACGCTGTCGAGGCGAGTACCGCCGCCGTGATCTGGGCTATCAAAGTCGGGTCGATAGGAAAGTGAGACGAGGGTGTCGATCGGTCATCAGCTCTACGACGCTGATCTCCAAAAAACTCCCTTCGAGAGCGTCGCATGTCACTGTAGAAGTACTATGATCCCCATCGTAGTTATCGTCCGAAACAAACTCACGAGGTCCACGAAGGCAACGAACGTCCTCGTGTTGTTTACTGTCTCTCGACGAGGCCCTCGACCTGTCGTCCCGTGAACGGGAACGACTTCTAGAGAGGGATCTGTGTTCACTGTCGACCCGCACGACGTTCCTATGGTCGTAGGTAGGACGAGAGACGGACCGACTGGGGACCGTAGTCCCCCCGTGGTCCTCGTCACCACCCAGTCCCGTCGTAACGGGGGTGGTTGAGTGACGCTCTCGATCAACCGATTGACGAAGATCAGTCGTGCGGGAAGTATCATCAGCAGGCGAACGGTCACGTGTCTTGTCGAAAACATAAGTTGACTGAGGCGGGTCTTTATCAACTGATTTCTTGGGTGTGGCCGACGCGCCACCCCCAGGGCCAGATGTAGAGGGTGCAGAGTCCAAGGATCCACCCGATGACCTTCTCTGCTTGTAGCGCTGGTCAGTAGCCCGCTTCGCCAACGCACGAAGATACAAGTTAAAGTTGATAGAAGACAAGTGCTCACATTCTTTACAACGTTTATCCCACGAACACGTTGAAAACCCGTCCTTAATTATGCAGGAAGGACAATACTTGTGAGGATCTACTTTAGACAGTTTTCGTTGACACGAGGCACAAATGCCCGCCATCAAGTCAAACAGTGAAACACGTGTTGAACACAAACAATGGATTACCAAGGATTACATTCCAGGAGTCTACAGGGAAGACATATTATCATTACTTTATTAGAACAACAACTGTAGACACACGATAAGTACTAGTAGAATACAAACTAGCAGGCTATCGCGAAAGTCCTTCTCGAGCGACCAGCTCAGAGGCGCGCTGAGAGATTTGTGGCATGTCATAGGGAGGTGCATGCGCAACCGGACGGAAACAAGTTTATTGTTTACATTCCAGCTTCTGGCTTCCTTTTAACGTGCGACTAGAGGTATGAGATACCCAATTGTATGACTGAAAACAGACTAAAACATAATATTGTCTGATAGTAGGGCTGGGACGGGTAACTAGGGTAATCGGGTCGGGTGGGTTCTGAGTAGGACCAGGGTACCTACAGTACTAGCCGGAACTGTGGTTAGTCTTGTGGTATATTATTAAATGTCAAAAAGTCACTATAGCTCCAATGATGCACACATTTCTTTTGACTTGTATATGTTTGCATAAAGATAAAGCCTCAGTCAACTTCAGTGTACACATGATCTGATCCTTTAATACATGTATCTGAATAGATTTTGCCAGGGCTGGAAGCTTTGTTTTTATTTCCATTTTCAAAAAAAAAAAATCCTTAAATGTTCCGCGTCCAGAACACACGACCTCAACAGTGAAATGCTACAATACTTAAAAACAATGCGATCCAATATAACGTGCAGTTACTTCCCTTTTCATGCGCACTGCTTTACTGCGCATCTCGTGTGTTATGGTCATGGCGGCAATAGGAGTTTGTGTGCTTGCTTTGCTGTTTGCAAATTTGGTCAATGAAAACATTCAATTTGCAATAGAACATCACTAGACATGATGATGGTATTCAAATACAAATTCAATGGTATTTGTGTACTGTATGAGGGACAATGCAGAGGTTATTTGTCTCGTAAAATAAGCGGGAAATCAATGCTAATTTATATACCCCGGCTATAAAGCGAATCGAAATATAGCCCATCACTAGTACATACAAAATCTCTACATTTGCAATAAAAATGTGTTTGTCTTCCGCAAAAAAAAAAATTACATTGTAGCCCTTCAGCGAATTCAGGGAAACGGAACAGATTATATCAATTAAACTTGGTCAATACAAATTTGAAATTTGAGATAAAACATCACTAAACATAATGATTAGCCGATTAAATTGTATTTCCTGTTCTGATTGGCATTGTTTTATATGCAGAGATTAAGATTACCGTGCGTCTTGTCTCGTAAACTAAGCCGGAAGTAGCATTCAGCTGCATACACTTTTCTCGGAATCTACCGGTGATTCGGCCAATAATATAACTTTAAAGAATTTTGATACAATGAGCGGAAGAATTGTATCTGAAACTATTATTTTGTCAGGAATGATTTATTCCAATATCATGTGTAGTTGCAGCTTTACTATATATATGTGAAATAAATTAATAACCATAAGCGTTGCACTTTGGTTCAGCTGATCCCCATTGCCGGAAATGTTTTCGAATGGAAGAATTTGACCAATCACCGTCCATGTGCCCGCGATTGCAAACACTTAATGTTGACATATAATAGTCAAACTACAACAAGTATGACTTTCAGCGATTCAATGAATGGCATTTATGATATATATATCCATTCTCTATCCACTAAAGTTCGTTTCAAGGCGTCAATAGCGGTAATATGACCGTTGTTGCTGAAAATAACGGTGAGTTATGCGATCTTCTGATCACTTCACATACGATTTTGCCGAAATGAATTGGACAATATTGAATGAAATGTTGAATAAAATTATTAAATAGATTACCAACATAAGTCTAGATATATTATGAACTCTTTCTACAACCAGACAGTGTAATTACATGATTAATTTGAGCATTTAAGTACAGATTTGTTGACATGGTATTTCCGGTGTTCCGTGCCCACAGTAATGTCTATGTGTTGCGGAAAAAAACCCCATAAAATCCTCAACCCTGTGTATAAGATGACACCCCCCCACCCCAACCCCCCCACACACATACCTTAAAAGCCTACTAATTCTAGTTATGAAAAACTCGCCTTAAACACAGCAATATACGGATTTGGATTCTTACTAGTGTGTACACAACAAAATAAAAAAAAAAAGGGCCGCCCGCCTGCACGATATTTTCAAAAGCTATTGCCTCAGAACCAATTTTCTTTTTTTTTCAGCCTAAGTTGGCTTAAAATTATCTGTCAGACAGTTGGGCAGGTAGAGGAAAATTTCATGCAGCCCGACAGAAAAGTTACCAGCCACTGGTGGGCAGGCATTTGTTTTTGGCACTGGTCAGCATTGACATTAAAATACTTTCTGCACAAATACAGAGGAAAAACATTAAAATCAAAAGCCTGTTATGAGAATGGTCAACATAAGTTCCAAATGTAAAATATTACAAAATATGGAACATGTTCAATGACACTGCTAACTACACAGGTAACACATTTCAACACGTTAATGACTGAGTGATGGCCATAAATAGCTTTTACAATATGTCTGCTAAGGAGGCCATGTTGGATTAATTGATTAACTAATTGAACAAATTCAGGTGCCATCAATGGTTGGTACAAACATGTGACGTTTCAGCTTAATAGGTCCAGTGGTTTTTTAGGAGATGTTTACCGGAGAGGAAATGCATTTTGAGAGAGTTTAGGAGCATGGTGAAAGTGCAGAGGCCAAATATAGGTTAACATTAAAACCTGTACACACATGAAGTTTTACTTATCATTGAACCTGAACCATGAACCATGCTGGAAAATTGGAAACTAAGTCTCTCACCTTCTTTCATTCTGATGATGATGTTCTTTGCAGAGGCATTTGTACTATAGTACCCGCCTCCCTCACTGTCCCAGAAGAGGTCATTCTGCTTCTGTTGTAGCTGCTCTGCCCACTCCAACCACCGGGCATCGTAACATGCCTCGTACAGGTCCAGCAGGCCTCGGATCACAAAGGAATAGTCATCCACAAATCCTGCAATAGGCTCCGTGCTGGAATGGAAGTGAATCTTTTCAAGCACTATAAAGATTCTTGAGCAAACATTACACATGAAAGTTACTTCCTTAAAAATGATAAAGAAATTTTGTCATCAAGGAACAACTTCAACCATGATTGAAACAGAACATATTATATGTAGCATAGTGAGTGAGTTTGGTTTTACGCCGTTTTGAACAATATTCCAGCAATATGATGGCGGGGGACACCAGAAATGGCATTCACACATAGCACCCATGTCGGGAATCGAACCTGGGTCTTCGTCGTGACGAGCGAACACTTTAATCACAAGGCTGCCTGACCTATATGCCCCCTATATGTGTAAGCAAGGATTATATCCTACTTAAATATTATCCCCGGGGAAGTTTTACTCTAGAGTGTAGTATAGGATAAGATTAAATACACTGGTATGGGTTCAAATTCACTAGGGAGAATCATCCTGACACAAGAGAATTTCATCTCCAGGATAAAAAATAGGGTAGGATAATATTCACTCTTACATATGCAACATAGAAGAGAACAGAACTTGCACTCAGACTATCAGCAGCATAAGAGGTACGGTTGTCATAATTTCTACATTGCATTTTTTCATACACAGACGTGTATGTACACTATGAGCATTAAACGATTTACAGGAGCATGGAGGTACAAGTAGCTGAACACATTGGGTATTAATAGGCTGGACAGGACTGAAACTTACTCGGTCTTAGAGTGCACATCTCTTAGAGCTTTCTTAACATTCCAGTTGTGTTTGTGCTGAACAGGTACACATCTTAAGCATACTTGGATTTCTGTAATGGTACAGATATTTGCATCCTTTTTATTGGAAAAAGAACTCCTTGAAATATAATCCCCCTTTTACAAACATCCCTTGCAGCAAGTTGGTAACATCCTTGAACATCAGACAAACGCTAGTGTAATCACTTTGCAAGAATATAAGCTCAGGATAAGTGTATCAATGTTTTTATATGTAACAAATGTTCAGGTGGAACATATTCACATGTACACATAGAGTTATAGTCAAGTAGCAAAACTGTTATTTCAGTATTGGATCTAGATAGAGCTGATCTAGTGTGTTAACAGTCTTGCAAGTTCTCCATCCTTCAAAATCAACTTACCTGATTTCTCAATGTTTTATATGATAACCAAACTAAGCAAAAACTCCAATTCTATTTCGCAATCCTATTTTTACAACAGGATCATTATTACTGTCAGGGCTATTTGAGAGAGAAACCAGTTAACTCAGCCCCCAAGCTCTAAGCATTACTGGTAAGGCCACACATTTTTTATTTTTTGTTTCACGGACCCGCCGCCCCTACAGAAAGCAGCCAGTCTAAGAAATAAAATTAACATAAAAATATTTATACCAGGGCTGCGTTGAAGAAGAAGCATTTGGAAACTATTAATGTCTTAAGGACACTTGTCAACTGTGACATGTAATCATACATAAAAAAGAAAGGGTAAATAAGTTGTACTGGCCTGGAGTGTGATTTAAGTAAGTCATAATCATACATTCCTTGGTGTCCTGGCCAATACACCTACAGTTTTAATCGTGATGATATAAAAGATAACACTTGTACATTGTGTTTACAATACTTATCCTATCTCACACTTCTCAGCTAATGCTAGAGTTGAAATAATTCTTGAACCAGTTTCCAGCTTAAAAAACACCACTCGAACACATTCTATCAGTAACCATGATCACCACTATCACATGGTGCATGGGCAATGCATGTGACCTGCCCTGCCAACTCATGCTCTTTTGAAGAGCGTTTACAGGCTTGCATATCTGTGATGCGAGGATGGTTTGGTGTGAGTTTTTCATGTGTGAGAGGATAAGTATGATAAATATACAATATGTTATAAAATTTACATGTTTTCAACTTATCCTTATCTAACATTAAGAGGGTTGGAAGGTGGGGCACAGATATCCAAGCCTGAAATAGACCTCAACTGTAAGTTGTACACGAAGAGGCTGGTCCATGAACTCTGGTCCAATCAAAGATACGTCATATCATCTATGGTTGAGACCAGAACTTGTGTATGGGTTGGTGATAGCAGTGACCATGGATGTGCAAAGTGTGAAATAGGATAAGTAGAAAAATTGACCTATCCAAGCTGTTCTTACATTTGATCCACGCCATCCTGCTGTGAAGTATAACAGCTTCGGAGCAGCTCCCCTGTATCCTCACTGTACATGTGTGTACGCAGGAAGTCTGCAGCCTTCACAGCGCGGTCAGTGTACTGGCTCTCTCCCAGGACCTGGCCTCCCCGGGCGTAGCCAGATATCATCAGACCTACAGCATGCAATGATGACAACTTTACCAAGACTGACTCCCCAAACTTGTCTCCTGACATCTGCAGGCATGAGAATAGATTTTTTCCTTTTCAGCTGAAACTACTTTGCAGTGGAGCGTGGTCCATAAATTGGGGGTGTTTATGAGGGAAGCCATCAGATTTTAAGAAATTTGTGGTCACTAAATTTGTGGATGCGCGGAAAATTCTCATCCCTGCATCTGGAAGAAGTCCTTAATATTTAGTTGATTACTTTTGTTGATCAACTTCAAGACTTGTTTGTATAGAGAAATACAGGTGTAGCAGGGCATTGAGTCATCCCACAGAGGACATCCTTACCTTGTCAGCTTGCTGACGGGGTTAACCTCTTTGGTCATGTGGACAAGGCTTCCGACCTCTGATCAGAAGGTCCGTGGTTCAAATCCCATCACGGGACTCGGAAATTTTATGGCCGCTACATTGGCGCCCAATGTGGGGCTGAGCACGTTCATATCAAATTTGAGCAAATTAAGCCTCAGTACCCTACTATGCGACCCGGGACGTGCCTTCTGTTGACGAGGGAGTATGTAGCAGGGCGTAGAGTCATCCCACAGGTGACATCCTTACCTTGTCAGCTTACTGACGGGGTTAACCTCTTTGGTCATGTGGACAAGGCGTCCGACCTCTGATCAGAAGGTCCGTGGTTGGAATCCCATCACGGGACTCGGAAATTTTATGGCCGCTACACAGGGATAAACAACATATGGTGATCTAAACTTGTATCATGCGGACTGGTTAAACAGAGGTCAGAGTTTGTCAATATCAATATGGTTTGGCATTGCCATACAATGTAGTATATATGTTTACACACCATTCCAAGCAGCCACCATTTTGTTGTCCAGATGCGGCTTGGGTCTTTTCAGTCTGACATCAAACAACACATTCCTGCACTTCTGCAAGACTTGCTCTGTGGTTTCTACGCTCAAGTTAAACACCTCAGCTACTTTCTCCACACTATCTCGCACTATCAGGACATTCTGCATTTTCAACTCATCATGTGGATCCTGAAAGTAAAGTCGCAGAAAAGTTTAAATGATCATTTCACATACCTGTATATATTATGTACTTCCACCCTTATAAACTGTCCATTCTATTTCAGCACTGCCGGTGTATTGTGAGTGTAAATATGTTCCCCATGTAATTTTGTTCCAGTGGAACTGATTTACCAAAAGTATGGTTCCTGTGGAACAATATACCTGGGAAAGATATTCCATGATCAGCAAAATTGTTCTGGAATTTGTCCTGTACCCCCATTTGCCCCCCTCAATTCTCATGCCACACCCCATAATATAAAATAACAGGTTCAAATTGTCCTCAGTTTAAATGTTCTGGGATCTGTTTCTATGAAGTCTTTGAAAGGCATTTAGAAGTGATACACATAAAGAAGAGAATCTATGGATGTCAACTTCTTTACAATGAAGAACACCACGTTTAGGAGTATAAACTTACTTCTTCATCAGGTGAATAAATGCTTTTAGCATTAGAATTTATTCACCTGATGAAGGAGTAAGTATATACTCAGGAACATTGTGTTCCTCATAATAAAGACGTCGACATCCATAGATTCTCTTTCTTATGTTTCTAGGAAATTGAATAACTTGAAAAAAGCCGTCCACTGGTTCATTGTGATTCACATGTCTGGATTTCAACAGGAATACCTTCTTTGGATGTTCAAAATTGACCAATTGTCTATGACAACAAACAATTCGTCATAGTATGGCAGATTGAGAAAAACAAACATGTTTGAAGTGGTCAGGCACCACATGGGAACCAACAATGAGATAAGGGACCTAATGGGTGAAAAATCACATTTTGACTTCTCATCATATTTTAAAATGACGGGATCTTAGGAACACAAAAATACAATTCTCAAGCTTCACATCACATTTATCACAGAGATACATGGCATCAAACATTTGGACTCAATTTCTGCAAAGTCCCATTTTCAGACTTATAGCTGTTTATGTAATTGCCTTTTTTAGAAATAATGCCTGATCTATTGAAAGTAGATATGTATTGAAATGTTTTGAAATGATGTCTTTTTATTACAATACGAACTAAAGAGAGGAGAATGCAATATTTTTGTACGGTCCGTACACAAGGCGATATTTACGGAAGTAAGTTGACGTCAAACGTCTTTATGACATCACAGCACAATTGTTTCCCAGCACTCATTAGGTTCTCCTGTCAGGTCACATGTCAGGTATTCCTTGAAACAACGCACAGCTACTGAATTATTTCTAAGTCATTTTATATCACTCAACTTCACACGTGTTGTTTGCTTTCCCAATCTGCCACGAAAACTTTTTTATTGTCATATACAGTCATGTACATGCTCTCACCTTTCTAATTGTCTCTTTTTACTAAGTTAAGGCATATGTCATAAATGACTGTAAATGTCTGTACATATGTTCCAAGGATGAGGACTAAATTTCCTTCCCTCTGTGATTTTCTACAGACAAATTATTGTTCGGCCAATTCATCGCTCACACCTACACATTCATGTAAGACCCTGCAGTTGGAAGATGGGGGAGGGTCATCAGAGCCTCATGTTAATGTGAATACTTATGTGTCAAGTTACACATTGTAAATTGACAGGTCTTGCATCAGGGTTACGGGGCCAGGTATCTGCAATAACCGTATCTCAGTGCTGCTCCCTATAAACGATTTCGATTTTGACTTGTTGCTACTGTTTGTTTGTTTGTTTAACGCCGCACTCAGCAATATTCCAGCTATATGACGGCAGTCTGGAAATAATCAAGTCTGGACCAGACAATCCAGTGATTGACAACATGAGCATCGATCCATGCAATTGGGATACGATGACATGCATCAACCAAGTCAGTGAGCCTGATCACCCGATCCCGTTAGTTGCCTCTTCCAACAAGCATAGTCGCCTTTTACGGCAAGCATGGGTTGCTGAAGACCTGTTCTACCCCGGATCCTCCTGGGTCTGTTGCTACAGAGAGCTATGGACTGTCCCATAGTATTTTCCTAATAGATCCCTGATTTGGAACAGACTGTACTAACAACCCTTATGGGATGTTCATCAATTGTAATCTCGTGAAAACTGCAACATGATTCCCTTCCTAGAGCAGCCTTCAAAGTATGTGTATATATACTCTTCAAAAAAAGAAACTTGACACTGACTTTTAAAATGTAATATAATGCGATTGTTTCAAAATAGGACACAGAAACCATAATTGAAACACTGTTTGAAGATCAATGTTCACAATGTTCAAAACATTAATCGTGTCACCTCAACAGACACACGTACACGATACAGTTAATGTCACAGGGGTACAGAAAATGTCAGTATCGGTGTCAGCCCACCACGTGCATCAATCACCGCTTGACACCGACGACCCATAGATGCAATCAAGTTGTCAATAACACGCTGTTGGATGTGCTGCCATTCATGCTGAAGTGCATCAAGAAGCGCCAGAAGTGTTTGGGGCGGTGGATTCCTTCTGCGAACGCGTCGATCCAACTCGTCCCACAGATGCTCAATCGGGGACAAATCTGGTGACCGGGCTGGCCAAGGTAATGTCTGGATGTCGTTGTGCTGTAAGAAGTCCTGACAAACACGTGCAATATGCGGTCGAGCGTTGTCCTGCTGGAACTGTCCGACATGAACGTTGACGTCGCCAAATGGGACAACCTGCTGCACACAGTTGGGGGCGTAACATTCACCCCGACATCTGTAGACACGTGCGCGCCCATCAGCACGTGTGAGTAGGAAACGGGACTCGTCAGTAAACAGTACATTTCTCAACCTTGCACGTGCCCATCTAACCCTCTGTTGGCACCAAAGCAGACGGTCTGCCAGATGACGTGGGGTCAATACATGACGCCGAACAGGTCTTCGTGCAAAAAGTCCAGCCTCCCTCAGTCAGTTGCGTACCGTTTGATCTGATATTCTGCGTACCCCAGGGATCTGTGTGGTTGTAGACGTGGCTGTGGTAGTGCAGTCTCAGAGGTGTCACAGCCGGATGTATCGATCTTGTGCTTGGGTTGTCACCCTTGGTCTTCCTGACCTTGGTCTGTCGTCAACTCTGTTGGTGTTGTTGTATCGGGTCCACGGATTGTCTGTCTGGATACGCCAAAGTGCCTGGCCACTTCTTGCTGAGTTGCTCCAGCTTGTAATCTCCCAATGGCATTGTTCCGTTGAGCTGCATTCAGTCTTGGCATTCTGTCACCGCCTCTATTGCCGTTATAAGGACTGTATGCACAGCCGTTGATGTGGATTTTTATACCCATTCAGCAGGGGGGCCTGCATGCCTAAATGCAGGATCCTGTGCTGCACGTTTTTTACAGCCGGTTGCGTTTGGATGAAGCTGTAAAATTGATCCCAAACGCTACGTTTATGTGCTTTGCATGTGTTTTCGTGAATTATAGACACATCATCTTTCTGTTTGACTTATTTGGTTCTCATTTCATGTTATTATTTTAGATATTTGGCAAAAAGTGGTTTTACATCTATGACAAGTTTCTTTTTTTGAAGAGTATATATTTTCGATGACGCAACTTATATACTTGCAGGATGCAATCATTGCGATGGTACAAATTTTTACCTGCAATCAAGTTTCCATAAAATCAAATATAAAACCTGATCAAAATGTGTTTCTCATTATAAGTTTATAACACTATCCAAAATTTTGAATGGCAGATCTGTGATCTAAATAATAATAATAAAATACATGTTGGTGAAATGGGGTTTAACATCAAGTTCGAGATTATTTCACTTAAACACTGAAATGTGCAACCTAAATCGTGTTAGGTAATCAGCGCATGCATACTGTTTTGTTGGTCATCTACCCCTTACGAAATCGTACTCCACCTCGGTTAAACCTCGGTCTATAAGGTTCATCAATTATCTGGACCCCAAAGGTAGCGTTGTAGTGAGGGATCACTGTATTGCAATGTTAAAATTCATGACAATATTCAATATAACATAACATTTATATACAAAGAGCCATGTCTTGTAAAGATTATTGAAAAGTTGTAATATAATAATATAGACAACCAAAGTACATGACAATGTCCAGCAAATGTACCTGGTAGGGATCGACATTCCCTGTGTCCTGAGTATTGTAGTACCGAGAGAACAGGTCTGCTTCTGTCTTGTCGTCGTGTCCCTCCAGTCTGTCGGACAAAAGTGCCCGCAGTTCCTGCTGGGTCCACACACAGAATGCTCCCTCCTTCTTCTCTGTAGCACTGCTGTCAGGCAGAGAGTCAGCATCCTCAGCACTGTAGAAGCCCCCTGCCTGAACACGACAGTAGGACATACATATTTGTGTTATAGGAATGTTGCAGAGATACAAATGGTTCTATTTTATCATGTACATACAGGTTAAGCTCGGAGTCTGTTCTCAGAGAATTGAATTAACCCTCAATACTGTTAGATATTTGTATCTGAACACTTCATATATAATGCCTTGTTAATCCAGTCAGTACTGTATATGTTGATATTCCAACAGTAATCAGCCAGAGATCTAAATTCTATTTTTATTTCAGTTTTGTTTACCACCACACTCAGCAATATTCCAGCAATATGATAGCGGTTTGTAAAGTCTCATGTCAGGACCAGACAATCCATTGATTGACGTCATGAGCATCGATCTATGCAATTGTCACATGCATCCACCAAGTTAGTGATCCGGACCACCTGATCCCATTAGTTGCCTCCTACGACAAACATGGGTTGCTGAAGACCAAATCTATAACCAGGATCTTCATGGTGGTTTGGGTTAAAGATGCTTAGAATCACTTTGTTTCACTGTATGACATGACTGGAGTGAGTGAGTGAGTGAGTGAGTGAGTGAGTGATCGAGTGAGTGATCGTGTGAGTGATCGTGTGACTGATCGAGTGAGTGATCAAGTGAGTGAGTGATGAATGAGTAACTTTGAATGTTGCTTTCTTATTCCAGCAACATCATAGTGGGGGACACCACATAATGTACCCATGTTGGAAAATCAAACCCAGGCTTTTAGAGTGAACACTTTAACGACTAGGCTACCCCACCATGCCAGCACAACTCTATTTGTACAGGTAATATCTAAGCAGATTGCTCAGTCAATCACACTTGGCTGTCAACGCTGCTGACACTCACTGGATGGCTCAGGTCCCTGGACACATACTGGAAGATGTCCTCAGCAACGTCTGCGAAACATTTGTCCTTAGTAGCCTGAAAAACAATTGTAGAAAAAGAGCAATTACTACATACTGCTGCAGAGTGAAAGTACATGTATTATTGAGAAGCTTCCCTTCATGTATGAACAAGAAGATGACAAAGTCATCAATATCCCCTGCCCTGAATTAATCACACAAATTGTATGTCATGTATCTCATCATACCAAAACAGGTTATTCCTCTAGCTTTGGAGAACAAAATCGTTGAATAAACAAAATGATTCCATCTTTTCTTTAAATGCTATCTATACCTTCCAATGCTGTGAATTAGTACTTTTCAATAGACAAGAGCTTTTCATTTGATAGTAGTGTTACATATATTTTCCTATTCATATTATATAAGACTGCCTCCGTGGTCAAGTGGCCTGTTAAGTGGAAGGTCTGGGGTTCGAACCCTGGTTGCATCATACTAAAAGACTTTCAAAGATGGTACTTGTTCTTACCCTGTCTGGCGCTTGGCATTGAGGGGCTAAAACAAGTGCTGATTGGCTTGGAGTCAGTATACTGTGTCTCAGTGGGTATTCATGTTAAAACTGCGGCATACTGCAGCATGTTATCTCAGTGGGTTAGCACTCTAATACAAGAGCGAGCATGCACGCACGCTCGCTCGCTCATCACTATATAACTGCAATAACCTTGGACATGACATCAAACCCCATTTTACTTCACCACATATATAATCTATAAGAAAATAGCAAACAATGAAACATTTCCTGAATTGATGTATCATCAATGATGCTGCTGTGCTAGTATTTTAAAAACCACTGCATTGTGAGTGATGTCCTCCCTGTCAGGGTACAACGATGCATAATCAACCAAGTCATCCAAGTATTTCTTCATTCTCAATCTTATTTAGCAAATTGCCAAACACCATAATTCTTCTGGATGAATATCTGCCATACTACACACCTGATAGGCTTCGAGGTAGGACACGGCTAGCTGGCCCTGGTCATACAACATCTTCTCAAAGTGAGGCACATGCCAGAACTTGTCCGTAGAGTAGCGATGGAAGCCCTGTACATCAACGGAACAACCAGTGGACATTAGATGTGATTTATAGTTTATACAAACTTGGAAATGTCTGGTTTGAAAAATTAAACAATCGGTTCCCAAACAAACAAACATTTCACATCTTGGAATATCATAGCATATACGTGACAATTTTTTTGTTTATATTCCCAGGGATCCAACATGCAACCCTCTGTATCTGTAGCCCAGAGAGTGTAAACCAGGCTACAGACGTGCTGATAAATCACAATGCTTTTAAGGATGTCTTTTTCAAGTACCCGTATGCCAGCAACAGGTATTTTACACCCGTTTCCTAAGGTTCATGGAAAGTATGTTTGAAACATAATAATGTTGATAAATGTTGTTTTAAGTTTCTTTTTTCGGGTTAAGTTAGATAAAACACTTACCCTGAGGTTTTAATGGGATATAAAACCCCCACCCTCAGGATAAAACCTCGGGGCTAACACCACTCGGTTTTATCCATTGGTTTCGAGTTGACATGTTTATCTTACACTTATGGCTGTAGGGAAGAATTAGTGTCTTCTTTTCTGAAAACTATTTGAGACGCCAACAGATCCAATACGTGATGTCAACAGAAGGGTCTGTGACATCATAACAGTTGCGATGTCACCACATATTCTGTCTTGCGTCACCAGTAGTCAATGCATCATATTAAAGCATGAAATGATTATTACATCAACTCGCTTACCATGAACCATACTGATAATATTACCCACTAGGGTAGAATGATTGTATGTTATAACTTTCCGATATTTGCATGTGCATCTTAGCGATTCTCAATGCTGATCAGTCAATGGAAGCCATATGATGTAACACTGCACCATTGTTGAGAATATATAGAAGACTAAAAGAGCTACCATGTAATACCAATTTTATGAAACAAGTGAATAGTCCTGGTTGAATACCAGAACTATTCACGAGTTTCATAAAATTGGCATAACACATGAACGAGTTAAGTATTTTATTTATTACTTGCCATTTATAACTTTTTTAGAATTGCACTGTCGTGTGTGAATAGGCAGACACCTACTTGATCCAGAGCATAATCCAAATGAAGTTAACAGAATAATATGTCAAACATGTCAAAAGTTGACTCGTATAAATTTTATACCAAACAGTGGCCCACATTTAGAATTCAGGTGGAACAGGGCCATGCACAACAAAGTTTACAATCAGGTCACAATACAATGACGTAATTTGTGGAAATTTGTTGTAAACTCCACCCGGACAATGATGCCATGTGACGTCAGCCTAGCAGCAGGGTTGCTGGGGTCATCGAGTGTGCATAAGCTCCTCTTAGTGATCTATCATCTCTACTTGCAATGTCATTAAATAAGCCCAGGGATGTTGATGTTTTCAATATTTGTCTTTAAACTTGTTCCCACAGTATATAAGTTTGTTTTTGTTTGTTTCTTGTCTAACGCCGCACTAAGCAATATTCCAGCTATATAACGGATGTCTGTAAATAATCGAGTCTGGACCAGACAATCCAGTGATTGACATCATGAACATGGATCCAAGCAATTGGGATCAATGACATGCATCAACCAAGCCTGACCACCCGATCCCGTTAGTCGCCTTTTACGGCAAGCATGGGTTGCTGAAGACCTACTATTCTACCCGGGGATCTTCACGGGTCCCCACACAGTATATAAGCACACATGCTTTTGTATTACACAATGTGTAATACAGCTGTATTTTATTACACAGGTGAAAGTACGATATGACGTCATCCATCGTTCATGACACCACAAATTGATAACGTAATGTCATCTGAACAATAGTCTGTCTTCAGTGAAGTTTCTCTGTATGTTTTTTCTTCATTTTCTCTCTCAAAATATCAATAAGTAATATATACAGTGACCCAACTGAAACTCAGACTTACAGATTATCTACTCCTCGTGAATGAATCCTGCTAGTCCTTTGCCAAAGATGGGGATTAACACCATCCATTTACTCGGGACAGATAATCTGTAATTCCTTGTAGCTTGTTGGTTATTCTCTAAATAATGTTACTCCTGTGTGTGACTTGAGCTGTTGTCTCACCTGAGCCACATGGTCATGGATGCCACCTTTGGCCATCATTGTCAGTGTATAGCTGCACATGTCCAGGGCATGTCGACCTTCTTCACTGCCTCGATTACTCCCATAGAAGCGTAACAAGAAGTTGAAATTTACTGAAACAAACTGCATGGATCAAGACATGCTTTAGCTTGAATACGATGCAATGTGATTCGCTGACATTATGCACCATGTGATTATATTGCAAACTGATTATTTACAAAGTTTCATGCCCTTGTAATGCATATCAATCACTTGTTGGGATGAATGAGTGAAAGGTGTTTTGTCAACATCAGCAACTTTACAGTGTGACCTAACTCAGTGGAATGAGTCTCTATAGAAATTAATTGTGTGAGCAAGGTTCAGGGTTGGAGATCAGGTGAGGAGGAATGGGGTGAACATCGTTTCCAAGATTACTGAACTTAAATAGCAACATGCATGTATACATGATTGTGCGTGTGTGCGTGCGTGTAGCTGCTTGTACTTGTCGAGAGTAATGCAGGTTTTACAATCAGCCTGACACCATTTCTACTCAGCAGCCACTGTGGCTCCATGCTCCCCTTGTTGAGCAGGAGATATAGAGAATCTCACCCGAGTGTCTTTTGATATCAAATATATCAAACACGAGTTGATAAAAGTGGAAAAATTCCGAGGTATCAACAATATCTCCAGTTTAGGATGATAAATGGGGATCTATGCTGCTACATTGTATACACCTCTTAGTCCCACAATACTTACATCAAGCATGGGTTTGTGGTACCTAGCATGGGTTTGTGGTACCTAGCATGGGGTAATGGTACCTAGCATGGGTTAATGGTACCTAGCACGGGTTAATGGTACCTAGCATGGGTTAATGGTACCTAGCATGGGTTAGTGGTACCTAGTATGGGTTTATGGTACCTAGCATGGGTTAATGGTACCTAGCATTGGTTAATGGTATTTAGATCTTCTGTCCAAGAATCCCCATTGAGGAATCTGCATCATGGCGTGCAAACTAACCAAGCCCCTATCTTGTTACTTAACAGCTGATTCCATTACATGTATCAGAAAAAATCCAGCCCAAGTTAGTAACCTTAAGGAAATTGACTCTCAAAAGTCTCATGTATACCTGGCTGAGGGAATTTTGGTGCCTTTCCAAATCCTCCTAGTTCTTCATCATAGCTGATGACAAGCATACCGAAGCACTTCATGACCTGTGGCTCTGAAGGCAAAGCGTTTTCCCCCTTGTCACTGATGTTGCTCATCTTCGACAGAGAGCTTCGGATAACTTCAGCCTTTTGTTCTAGGTCATCCTTCTTTGTTCTCCACTGAAATTAAGAATGTGATACACTGTGTATTTTCTTCTGCTTTACATTTTTCTTTCATGTAATGATTATCAAATTGGTCATAATTTCACACAGGGATATACAAAATAGTGTCAGCATAGGGTAAAATTGAAACACTTCAATTAAATGAAAACAATACTCACTTTCTCGGCTATATTCTGCAGTATTGTTTTGAACCCTGGTCTTCCATAGTACTTGTCATTGGGAGGGAAGTATGTTCCTCCAACTATGGGGTTGAGGTCTGGAGTCAGCCACACACTCATCGGCCAACCACCTCCCCCACTAGTAGCCTGACAACACAAACTCACATACATCATACCATGCATAATTAAACAATGAGAGTTGTACATTTCATTATAAAGATGAAATCCACCCCATGAAGATCTGGGGTAGAATTGGTCTTCAGCCACCAATGCTGGCGACTCTGGTTGTTGTAAGAGGCAACTAAAGGGATCAGGTGGTCAGGCTCGCTGGCCTGGTTGATGCATGTCATCGTATCCCAATTGCATGATGTCAATCACTGGATTATCTGGTCCTGACTCGATTATGTACAGACTGCCGTCATATAGCACGAATATTGCTGAGTGCTGTGTTAAACAACAAACAAACAAACAAACAAACAAAAAAGATGAAATCAACATTACTGAACATGATAATTGCTGGATTTAACCCTCATTAACAGACTCATCTATTTTATTGATAAATATAGTGGTGTCGAAATATGCTTCACTAATCAGAGAGTGAGTGAGTGAGTGAGTGAGTTGGACTTAACGCCGCTTTTAACAGTATTCAAGTTATATCGCGGCGTGTCAGCTTAATGTGGGAGAAAAGCCCTAAGTGATGCAGGTCTCAGATGTTTACCACTTCGGTGAAACCCATGAGCACGGGTATGGTGCTGACAAACCTAGAAACATAATCGGGGCGAACCGGGATTCGAACCCACAATCATAGGTTTCTGGCGTTGCCAAAGGACGCAACTCTGCACAGCGAAATGCGGTGCCTTGGACGACTGGGCCACTCGTGCCCCCACTAATCAGAGAATTGTGATAAACCTATATAAATACATACTGTGGTACAGAATACAAAATCAATGCTTCAAAAGCATTTCTATCAATTCTGCAAGGCACAAAATCTTTCAGAATGAGTATTAATATTTTTTTAATATTGATAAAGTGTACATACTTGTGGTTAACTGTACCACTTATCCATTTTAATATTGAGATTTTCAAATTATCAAATTTGACATTATTTATGTATTCTTTTACCTATGTACATATAAAAAACTTGACTCATTTGAAACAAATTAAACTACTAAATGACACATCAAATATTGAAATCCTATGAAAGTGTTTGATTGCTCTAGAATCAACCCACCTGGATGAATGTCATGTATACACGGTCAACATCAGGTCTCTCTTCTCGATCCACCTTAATGCTGACAAAGTTCTCATTCAAGATCTTTCCTATGTCCTCATTCTCGAACGACTCTCTCTCCATCACATGACACCAGTGGCAGGTGGAGTAACCCACAGACAGAAATATCACTTTGTTCTCAGCCCTCGCCTTGTCAAAAGCCTCCTGACCCCATGGATACCTGCATTGATGAACAATGACATCTGTAAAGTCTTTGTAGGGCATTTAGAAGAGATACACTGATGAAGGAGTAAGCATATACTCCGAAACATAGAGTTCCTCATAATACAGAAGCTGACATCTATAAATTATCTGCCTTATGTCTGTAAACTTCCTTAAATTTATAGGTTATAAAGTAATTCCAGTAGATCTGCATAGTGATAAACGTCTAAAGAATGGCTCAAGATGGAAAAATGGTTCTCATGCAGCGAGGACATTACAGGGGGTATGGGTGACCAAAAGCCTCATAAAATGCAGTTGTATGTTTATTTTGATAGACCCAGCATCAAAAATAAATATTCCTGAATTTAATTTAAAGTTTCCTATCATAAACATATAGTTTAACAGTAAAACAACAGGGTTAGAAACTAACAGTTTTTGTCCACTAGTCCTTATAATGATAACATATAGCAAAACCCTTAAAATGGGCCAATTTCTACTAGTCTTTAGGATACCTTTACTATTGGGCAGTTTGGTAAGGACTACAGGACTAGTGCCAATTTCTAACGCTGTAAACATATCATTTATTTCTGGTCATACTTATTTGCATCCAATGGGACTACCAGAGAATATTATTTGTTGGGATGCTCAATTTCAATGCACCTGAGACACAAACCACTGATATATTTTATGTAACCTGTAGGCCTACTGTCAAACTAGTTTAATCATATGTGCCTTACACATGCTTGTTTCATTTTAAGTATATTTTATTGTACAAAAAGACAAGGGGATTGGGCACAAGTGCACCACTTATGCCTCCTTCTACCTTATCTGAACAGTCTACTTCAACATACATATGTAACGGTATTAGACTCTATATGTAACCAAAGAGATCTATAAGGGTTTTTCCTTGACCTTCAAAACTATTGGTCTATTTCCACGTCCCCTCTATGGGCTACATTTGTGAGTACCGGATGCATATTTCTGCATCGAGTAAAACCCTGAATAATGCTTCATGAAACAGACAGACATCAATAACAATAACACATATTTACCAGTCCACTGGATTGGAAGCATGTTGAAGGAGATATGGTGACTTTTCCAGAGCCAGTCTATTCTGCCGACTGCTTGAGGAAGAGGCCATCGTTCTACTTGTGAGAATATTTCTTCTGTGAAAACTGGACCTTCAGAATAAGCATCATTCATTATTGCAAGTGAAGTGTAGAGTAGATACAGCACTTCAGTTCAAAGAAATCTTGATCAGAGGGTGAGGGTGAGGGTGAGGGTGAGGGTGAAATGGGGTTTAACGTCGCGTCCAAGATTATTGCACTTATATAGCGACGTGCATGTACGTGTGTGGGTTTGTGTGGCTGCTTGTACAAGTCCGGACTGATGCCGATTAATAGCGCTAGCTCACTGAGATACCATGCCGCAGTTTAACATGAATACCCCACTCAGACACAGTTTACTGACTCCGAGCCGACCAGTCCTTGTTTTAGCCCCTTAATGCTGAGCGCCAGACAGGGTAACAACAAGTACCATCTTTTAACGTCTTTTGGTATGACGCGGCCCGGGGATCGAACCCCGGACCTTCCGCTCTCCGGGCGGACGCTCTACCACTAGACCACGGAGGCGGTCTAATCTTGATCAGAACAGTGAATAGGGAGATCACTAGAGAAGTGGCAGCTTACATAGAGGATATTATATGAGTGTTCATGTGATACTATATGTCTACGACACAAGTGTCTAAATTCCGGTATTTCCCGAGCGAGAGTAAAGACAGCAAGTCGTAACAGCAGCGGAACCAAACTTTGTCGAAGGACGTCAACAATCTTCAGCTATGGCATTGTTTCTAGTGTGACGTCACAATAAGATTTGAATGACGTCAACAATACAATGTTGCCTCGTGACGTGATATGACCCTAGGGCACATTTGTTTTTAGTGAACCCTGATAAGTTTGCCCTCATAGGTAAAAAATGTAGTTATGTATTTTCCATGTAGTAGAGGGTGTGTATATCCCTTTTCTATATATAACATCCTTCCAAACGCGCTTTACCACTATAATATAGTTAATCTACGTAAACCCACTCAGATTTTTTTACTTTTCCAGTAGCAGAAAATATAACAAAAAATCTAATAAATATATTACAAAGCTACAGTCCCAATCGTGCATATATTATAATACGTTTTCATATCAATGTGTGATGACTTAACAATTTATTTCATATTGAATATAAAGAAAAACAGACAAAACGTTTTATGGTCTTTGACGTTAATAACCAAATGGTATATATTACGATTTTACCCCTGCTTCGATAACTTACACCATTACAATATGCAGCGCTTACAAAAACGTACCGGTTTACGTGTGCAGAGAATATGCTGTGTTTCGCGTAATACTCCACACACCTTTTGTCAACGATGATGAACTTGGTGCCGAAAGTTCGATGGTGACGGGGCGCTGAACATCGGGATAAAACTAGGGCATTTGATGATACAGAACTGGTGTTGTGGAAACAAGTCAGGCAAGTGTCATTTACCGTGTTATATAACTTCCTAACATGCTGTCGGATGTTATTCAACATTTGACAATCTTAAATTTAGAAAGGTACTATCAAAACCTGATACAGCCCAGAACCTTGAGACTTGCTCAAGCATGCATGGAGAAACCAGAGTGAGATATTTCGTCTGCAGCTGGAGATCGAGCGCAAGCTGTGGGACTAAGGGACGCAATTTCTCGAAAAGGAACCACAATTAGAATTATCTCCCCTTAGAATATCGAAGACACACAGTTTTCGATCACCAGATCTTGTTATTCGTTGGTATTCCCTTTTTATTTCTCACTGACATGGTCAAAGTAGTTCTGTAGAGCCACTTTGGAAACAGCCGAAACATACAGTGTCCAAGCAACAAAAAAATGTTTCTAGTTCACTTCCAGAGTTACTGTCCAAAGTTACTGCAACAGTATCTGAATGTGAATTGAACCATATATTTCCTCATTTCGCCACAATCAAGTTTAATTGTAGCAATCATGCAGCAACTGTATTTGGAAATGCCTTGCTGTGTTGACAGTAATATTAAAATAAATTATAAACTATAATTTAAATAAAGCTTTTTAAAGTTACTTTATGATATTTCCACTAACTCAAAATACTGAGAAAGGAAAACACATTAACAAAACGACTTTGCCATTCTTACACATTGTAAAATGCAATAAGAGTCAGAAGGAGATTACATCGTTGGATACCTTCATTTCAGAGAAGAAAAGTGAACAGAGAAGAGGGAAAACTTTGCTCTTAAGGTGGCAGGGATATCAAGGAAAATATTCTCGTGGAGCGTGGGGCTATTGAAACATTTCGGCAATCATGGAAATTGAATGGGACATCCACGTTACATACCCCACACCTGGACCGTGTGGGAATCCCAACTGGTAATAGTGGTAATAGTAAACGAACGATTTAGTTTCTTTCTACCTATCCGTGTTCATGATGCCCTTTCCTATTGCCCCAATGTGTCCTATCAACATAAGTTTGGGCATTGTTGAAAGAAATCGTATTAAATAACAATGGTACTCTGATTTTTCCTTTCTATTTCTATTTCAAAATCTGTAGAAATTTCTGTGAAATATGTAATTTTATCATGATATATCAGTAGATTTCATTTTTTGTTAGTATGAACGAGGACTTGATAATGCCATTTGGTAGTGATGAGGAAGATGACATACATATCATTGGCAAATTACCAAATTTATTGAAGAGGTTATTTTCAGTTACATTCAAACGATGAAATGTATTAGGATTGAATGTCATTACACATGATCTAGGTTTTTGAGAATATCATGGTCAGTCCGGTCTGGGCTTTGGGTCATACCAAAAGACGTTAAAAGATGTTACTTGTTGTTACCCTGCCTGACGCTCGGCATATGCATTAATGGGCTAAAACAAGGACTGGTCAGCTCGGAGTCAGTATACAGTGTCTGAGCGGGGTATTCATGTTAAACTGTGGCATGGTATCTGAGTGAGCTAGCACTATAAATCGGTATCAGTCCGGACTAGTACAAGCAGACACACGCACACTTGCATGTACGTCGCTATATAAGTGCAATAAACTTGGACGCGACGATAAACCCAATTTCCCCTCTACTTTGAGTGAAATATTATGGAAGCGAATTACTCATTGTAGAGGTTACACATTTGTTATGGAGGTAGTGTGTTTACGTGTCAGTGCACAGTCCAGTTATACGTCGGTAACATATCAACAAGCATGAAATACTCATATCCCCCGCCAATATTCCGGTTGTGTGCAAATCATTAGCTCCTGTGAACTATGTTCACTGGACTTTTTGTAAATGGCGTATTTGCAGCACTAAAAATGTTATTACTGGTGTTGTTTTGCCATATGTAACTGTATTAGTAATGAGTTTTGTTATTACTTAAACAATAATCAGAGAAGTAAGGGAGTTCTTACTTTACTTAGAGATTAATGAGAGCAGGGTTCACCATTAGGGGTACTGAGAACTTCTTTGATAGGCATTTAGAGACGAGCTCACAACATCTGTTCCACGAAGCAACATCTAACTACTGAACTAAGCCACCTCAAACAAGTATTTACACAGTATAACCTCTATCCTCAGCAACTAGTACACCAGACGATAAAGAACATCACCAAGAAATCTCAGAAACCCCTACTTTGGAACAGTTAGCCACACAATCTAGAGACTCTTAAAGAAACAGGCCAACACTGATGTAGTTTTCAAGAGAAGTCATACCATTCAGAACACAATTAAAGCCACAGGGAAACCACCATCCAACAACCATGGACAAGCTTATATAGGAGAAACATCTGGGTCCCTCAAAACCCGAATAAAAGAACATCAAAGCTGTCTTACTTACTTACTTACTTTGGAGATTTAACGTGCGCTTTCCGACTGATGCGTATTTCGCACACGGGCCCGGCCAGGCCATTTAATGTTTCCGAAAGGGGCGAAAGTGGTGTGTGCAACCCAAGAGGGGGCTTTAGGGGTTGCTTATATAGAATTTGGGAATTTTGAGATTTGGAATAGATGCCGATGGGGTTTGGGAGTAGAACTAAGGGAGCTTGGTATGGTGGATGTTTGTTTATGTGATTTTGATTTGGTAGATTATAATGTTTTTAGATGCGTTTTATTAGTTCCGTTTTGATTAAGAATACGCCTAAGGCATTGTAGTGTTCTAGTTTATTTTGTGGGTTTAGTATTGTTTCTAGAGTGAGAGCCTTGTTTAGATTGAGGGTGGTTTGTAATGCGGTTCGATGTGTTAGGTAATGTGTGCAGTGGATGAGTGCGTGTTCTGGGGTTTCTAGTTGTTTGCAGTGTGGGCAGTTACCTGTAGTGTGTTTTAAAAAAAATAAATTAGGTGGTTATTTAGGTTGGTGTGTCCTGTTTGGAGTTTAGTGATTACTCTGTCGATTTTTTTGATGGATTGAGAATTTTTGGTTTGGTTAGTGGTTTGCTGAGTACTTTTTTGATTTGGCTATTTGAGTTGAGATATAGGTTATGCCATTTTTGTGATTTTTTGCTTGTTTACGCTTTTAATTTCTGATTTTGAGATGGGTAAGTTTAAGCTTATTTCTGGGATTTTGAGGGATAGTTTGGCTGCCTTATCGGCGTTTTCATTACCGTATATTCCTACGTGGGCGGGAAGGTTATTTGTTTGCCTGCCTTAGTTAGGTCGTTGGAGCTTTTAAGTATTTGATTTATTGATTTAGGTCGGTTTTTGGTATTTTTGTTTTGGAGGGCTTGCAGTCCACTTAGGGAGTCGGTAAGTATTAGGATTTTTGTGTGTGTTTTTTTAGCTCAGTCTCCAAAGATGACTCTAAATCAGCTCTCTCAGACCACATCCATGACAACCCAAGCCACAGCATTCAGTGGGAGAGAGTCACAGCCCTCACTACCAACCTCAAAGACTTCAAAATCAGGAAACTACAAGAAGCCATCAACATCAAAAGACTCCATCCGTCAATCAACCGTGACCAAGGCTATTACGTACCCCCGGCGTACCATCAACTCATCAAAGACCCCAATCAGCCATACTCCCGTTGTTTATATTACTGGCTTCATCCTTTGATTATGTCACTGACTTCACCGATGATTGTCATCACTACCCTTGTGTGTACATAACAGGTGTGTTCTCTACTCCAGTATAACAGTAGCTACTCTACTGTATAAACATTGCCTCCTACTTGTATATATACTTGCCAACCACACTCTGTAAATCTGTTACTAGAATGTCAAGACCATGCCCCGGCCCGGGCTAGGTTAAAACAAGAATTGCAGTTAGATCCGCTATCTGTCATAGATCTCCTAAAGCCAAGAGATGCAATAGCGAAGGCCAAACTAACTCTATTTCTGAGAGATGGACAGCTGCTCGAACGTATATAAACAGAGCAGCCAAGGATAAAAATGAAATCATATCAATATAAGAAAATAGAAATCATATCAATGCAAAAACAGAAATTATGTGAACACCGAACTCACAATAGATATGTGAACCCTTCTCACACACAGGAGTCCCAAAGAGGGACAGGTCAGCCGAAATTGCCTAGGCAGAAGGCGACCTCTTAAACACCTAATGCAACAACAACACTCTGTAAATCCACAGTTGCAGTTTGTACTCCAAGCGAGCAACACCTCCCAAGCCAGCACAGAGCATTGCCTGATAGCCAGCCAAGGAGAAATCCATCATCGGTAATTATCACGTTATCCTTTCAGCCTTATTCACATACTCTTAAAATCACTCTCATCGTTTGTTTGTTTGTTGTTTAACGCCGAACCTAGCAATATTCCAGCTATAGGACAGCGGTCTGTAAATAATCGAGTCTTGGCCAAGCGAGCAACACTTCCCAAGCCAGCACAGAGCATTGCCTGATAGCCAGCCAAGGAAACTCCATCATCGGTAATTATCACGTTATCCTTTCATCCTTATTCACATACATCACTCTCACCGAATTAATCACAAAACCCCTAAATCCTTAAAACCAACAACAACACTCAACTCTTATAAATAACCAACACCTTATCCTCCCCCATCTCCCTAACACAGCTCGCACTCATTTCTACTCGCTACCCACGCCCACCACTCAAACACACCCTTTGACCCAACTCCTAAAAACAAAAAAAACACCTAATCCCCCCTTCTCCTTAACACAACGCACGCTCTTTCCTACTCACCACCCACGCCCACCACTCACATACCTCCACTCCTTCGACTAAATATCTCCTAATCCCCGCTTTCCACTTGTCTCACCTAATCCCAGCCTTCCAGCAACAAAATAAATCTTTAATAATTAATCCATTTCACAAACCCTCCTACTAAAACCAACAACAAATAACCACCGCAACCTCCTCCGCCTCCTAAACACAACTCACCAAGTAAAAACAACAAACCAACTCACCTCCCCAAAACACCACTCCCACTCCACCACCACTCACCACAACACACGCTCTCCAACTCTCCAAAAAACATGACTGACACCCGCAACGCCACACTCGCAGACATGCCAGCTCCTAACTCACCCACGCCTGCGGAAGCGCACAACACTTCCGGGAGGTCACTTGAAAACATCGTCCCGACCGAGTATGGCGAAAACACGACACACACCGACCCCACCAAACCAGCTAACTCGCCACCTCAAAACACCAAAAAACGCAAACTCGACACATCCACTCCACCTCCATCGCCCACACCCTCC